GTAAAACAAAATAAATATTTCATTTAGGCTTTACATAGATAGATACTTAACTTTGATATTCAGTTCTTGTCTACAAAGTTATACTGACCATTCCAAATGAAGCTAGAAATTGCAGAGCTCTTCAAATCAATTGAATCTTCTTTACTTGGTTGTCAGTTATAGAAGCAACAAGCTTGCTGTTGTTATTGATAAGCTAAGAACCCAAAATCACGAGATAATAGTTTGGGGTTTTAAGTATAGTATTTTATTCTGCACATCAATCTGGTTGAAGACACCAGGAAGATTTTAAGAGTAAATTTTGAGATTCTAAGAAAAATTTGAGTTGAGATTTCCATGCCAACTAATTAACTTTATTTCACAACTGACTTATTAGGCTTTTTGTTAAAATCTAGACTCTTTGGCTTTTAATCCTCCAGGCAGAAGATGAGTTTGTTTACTGGCCAAATAAAGATGAACCTATAAATTGTGAGAGCTTTAAGGTCACTCTTATGGCTGAAGAACACAAATGTCTTTCTAATGAGGAAAAGCTTATAATTCAAGACTTTATCTTAGAAGCAACACAGGTAAGGATATAAGTTAACAAACTTTTCACCTTAAACATGCGATAGACATATGCTGACTTAAGGATCTTTCCCAGAAATAAAAAAAAGGATTCTGATTTTTTCCAAATTGTGTCAAAGTACTCAAATAATCAATATTCCTTACTTGTCAGTTTCATTTTCAAAATCTTATAGAATCATTAAACAATTAGTCATCATTAAACTACACCATTCCTGAATTCTACACACACAGGAAATCAAAGATTTCTCTTTTACTCCAAATCAGTGGCTAATAGGACTTAGGCTGAAAATAAACATAGTAAAGAATAATGTTATTGATTCTGAATTGTGTTTTAATGCAAGCCCTTCCCTTGTATTCTGTTAAGTGAAATGGGAAAAACACTACCTACCGAAACTGACTGCTCTCTACCAATGCAGAGAGTTGGTGAGTGATAAGTGAAATATGAGTTGATAAGTGAAGAAGTGCTTCAAAAACGTGTAATACAATAAACTAGGATTATTTTACTAAACTCTTGGTTATATAAAAAATACTATTGTTATCTACAAGATAATATAATGTTCTATTAAACTCTTGGTTGTGTGCAAGATATTTATTATTGAATTCTTTGCCAATAATTATTTATGTAGAACTGCAGTAAAATACTAAAAGAT